ATCTAATTTTGTATGGTAGACTCATTTTGCAGGTTTGGATACAATAAACACTAAAATATTATTACAATTGAAGGGAAGGAAAGAAAACCCAATTACAATATCAGAAAAGTAGAATTAGCTAAACAAAAAAAATGGAGGGCAAAATATATTAAGAACAAAAAACAAGCCGTAATAATGAAATCATGAAATCTCAGTAGGAAGGCACTTGGTTGGTTTTGACCCTGTCAACAACATTAACATGAAGACAAACTAAAGCTTACAAATGAAAGAGAAGGAATACACACACACACACGCATTTAGTTTCACAGAATGTTTTCTGTATGTACCTAACAAAATTAATTGACAAGATTTTACAACTTCAATCAAAATTCTCCCAAGCTGTTTACAATGATAACTATAAGGTGTCTACACTTTACAAATTAGGTGTCTTTCTGACAGCTTACAGAAAATACTTTACTTACGAGAAGTCTAAATACCCTGGGAAACTATACATTCTAACCCTTCTAACAAGTATTAAGGTAAAATTCGTCTTGTATTGAGTGCCCAGGTTTTCTGCAGACAAGGTATAAGTATGCCATTGATAAAACAACTCACTTCCAGGAAGGAAATATCTTATGAATTAAGGTTCACGTGCCAGCAGATCCGTTCCAAACAATTCATACCTATTTTACTGAATGAAATTACAGTCATTAACTTTTTAATCTAATCTGTTCTTCAAACCTAATTTTACTATCCATAACAAGCACAGGATAGAGCATTATTACCTGCTAGCACATCACTTCTCTTTGCTTAACTTAGAGTTTTTATATGAAATCAGCAATATATAGCGTTGCATATCCAGCAGAGATAGGTAGATGCTAGATGACACAGGTGCTACATGACACAGGGAACTAACTAGGACAGGGGTACTCAACCTCTGGCTTGTGGGCCAGATCTGGTCCCCAGCACTGTGTTATCCAGCCCACCGGGCTTCCCACAGATCCTGTGATGAACCCCACGGGCTGTGGCCCTGTGTGCTAAGTCAGGCACACAGCACAGCACAGGGCCCAATCCCAGTCAGACCAGAACCCAATCCTGGCTGGACAGGGCATGCACAGGGCCCTAAGACCTGATCCTGACCAGAAGCAGCCAGCACAGGAACCCAGGGCCAAGTGTGCCAAGCCTACTTCATGCCACAGCTGCAGGAGACTGAGTAGGACCCCTGCAATTGCTTCACTTCAGTTCTCCAGAGCAGGGGTTAGCAAACTTTTGCCACCACAGATCACTGCTTGTAAGTCATCCCTCACTGCAGGCTCCATCCCCACACCTTCCTGACAATTAGCAGATGCTGAGAAGGGAATAAAGGATTGGTGACAGATGACAAAACAAGGAGCAATGGTCTGAAGTTGCAGCAAGAGAGGTGTAGGTTGGATATTACGAAAAACTCTTTCACTAGAAGGGTGGTGAAGCACTGGAACAGGTAATTTAAAGAAGTGGTGGAATCTCCATCCTTGGAGGTTTTTAAGGCCCGGCTCAACAAAGTCCTGGCTGAAATGATCTAGTTGGGGATGCTCCTGCTTTGAGCAGGGGGTCAAACTAGATGATCCCCTGAGGAATCTTCCAACATTCATTTTCTATGATTCTATGAATAGACAGAACAAGTCAAGTGCAAGGACCCTGGGAAAGTTGCCTCTGCTTCTTTGGCCAGAGTGTACTGCCAACTCCATGAGCAGCTGAAGACCAGATCCAATCTCTTCATAGGCCAGATCAGGCCCGCAGGTGGTAGATTGCTAACTTTCAGTGTTCCTCCTG